GTATCGGTCCTTTTATGTCTTCTGATCGCAATCCGCGATAAGAAATGTTTAAGAATATGAAAAGTAGGTTTCCATCAATTTACAGTGAAAGTCAACGAGGGCATACCGAGCTTGTCAATCGCTAAGTTTCTTAAAATGTATCCAACATAATTTTATCGCAGTGTCACATAGAAAAAGGACAAGAGCGCGATTTTGTTTCACTTTGAAATTTCTTTTGGAAATTTTTCCAGCCTAAGGCTAAAGGTGAGAAATTTATGGTCGTATCATAAGGCCAAACTTTTTCTTACGCCTTATCGTAGTCATGTCCTTGTTGATCATAGTCATTATCGTTTCCAGCTTGTTACTCTACAACTGCGTCTAACGTGCTCCAACTGAACACGTCGCGGCCGCGCACCTCAATCTGCCTCTGAGCACTGCCAATAGTAACAAAATGGGATGAATACTGATTTCCGTTCTGAAAAGCTGCAAATCCCTTTGTTATGGAGGATTCACATGGAGATACTGCTAAACCTTCCTCTTCTGGTGTGGCCTCACAGCTACCTTCAAATGGCAGTGGAAATGGGAAAGGAAAAGGCAGAAAAGCAGCTTTGGAGAAGCGAGAAGCCAACCATCGTTTGCACGTCTTGGATTCGCACATGCGTCTAAATTTTCTTCATCAAGCTGCGATCCATTTATCACGTCAAAGTAAGCCTTTCATTCACAATTCTTCCCACACTTATTTATTTTCTCCTTCGTTTTTGACTTGCTTTTGCTGCTTTTTAGGCACTAGTCTCGATGACGGTTTTGCAAAACTCAGCAGACGGTATGCTAAACTTTTTCGTGATGTACACAAAACAGAACGGGTAAAGGTGATGCCTGATATCGTGCAGACATTCTGTAAAAAGTGTAAACAGATCTTTATAGCAAACGTGAGTGCGATTTGCTTCGCTATCTAAATGTTAGCTTTTGAAAAACGGAACTTTTAAGGTCGAAAGATGTGAGCTGAGCTTGACTCAACGAAAAGTGCTACAAAGAAAATGCCTCCTGTGTGGTTATGCGAAGAATTATGAACTGAATAAGGATTACCTTTCGCGAAATCAGCGATTTTGGAAGGAACAGGAGAGCCTAGCAGCTGAAAAACCAGAGCTACTTGATAAACCGGTACCATGACTATTTGCCCTATTTTTTATCTTTCTATTGTTTCATACATTGTTCTCAATGTTTGTTTCCGTTATTATGTACATTTTTCATTGTTGATTTTTACAAAGTTGAATAAAATGTCACTTGATTTGCTTGTATAAATTTTTCTACTGTTTCAGATCAGCTTCCTTTTTACAGTTTTCTGTAGTTCTTTACATGTTTCATAAATAGAACGGGAACTTCCAGGATGTCTTTAGAGGAAAGAGACGAAGCCGAGCTGGGAGTGGAAGATCTGCGCGACGAGCTCGAAACGCTATCGGTGGGGTCCAGTCGAGATGGTATAGCTCCCGTGAAAGCTGAATACTTGATACCGGTAAGGAGCATCTCATTTTCTTCGTTTACGACTTATTGTACTGGTGTACTCACTCTTTTACTGTTTTCTTTTGATTTTTT